TTGTGTTCAAATTAATTGTTGATAAGATGTGGTATTTTTATGGAGATATTTAATTGTTGTCAAGATTAATCTGAAAATTTTGTGTAATTTGAAACCAAAAAATCTTTTTTAACAAAACCTGGTTATTTTGATAAATAGTTTTAATATTAAAAAATAACCATGGTTGTAACTCTAAAATTTGATAGATTATTTCATAGGCTTTTTGCAGAACAACTGACTATTTCAAATATTAAAATTAGCTGCTTTAAAAACAAAAAATTTTTTGTGATTATAAACCCTCACAATGACGAATATACAGCTTCTGAAGTCTGTTGTCAACCTTTTTTTTTTTTTTTTGGACGAATTGGCAAATTTGTTTCAAACTTTCAGAGGTAATTGAACATACCTGTCACTCAACACCACTAATAATATAATAAACTGTTTTTTTCCTTACTTCGTCACAAAGTAATGTTCAAAAATTTTTCATAGTTGTCAAGACTGTTGAAAACTACCAGTATTACATGTTGATATTTCACTGTAATACATGGTAAAAATATTTTAAATTTGATTTTTTTTTTTTTTTTTTTGTACGTTTACGTTTGCATTTGTCTGTCTGTGCTTTCTTTTTAAACATACCACTGAAATGCAGCAGTAATTAACAAAAGGTAAACTTTTTGAACACAAAAAACTCTAGTTTTTTTTTTTGTTAATATTGCTCCACAAACGGCTTTAACAGAAAAGTAAAAAGGTTGAAGTTTTTATTAGATGAATGTAACTATTCCTGTAAAAAAAAACTATTTAATACAAATTTTAGAATCTGTTTTTAAGCTAAAACAAGTAAAAAGCAATAAACTGTAAGGTTTATTGATGTTACAATCTCATGCAAAACTGTCAGTTCTTTTTGTACAGCCATAAACTATTTGACAAATATAATATCAGATTATAGTGTTTAAACATGTTCTGCCATTATTTCTTGCCATTCTTCTCAGCATATTATTCTTCAATTGCTAGTACAAAAATAATTACATGTAAACGATAAAGAAGCACAAAAAAACCAAAAAGTTTTCCTTTTATGTTACTTTTTTTATTTCCTAAATTCATCTTTTATTCAGCAGTTGTAGACAGAAGAAAAAAAGCACCGTTTTCTACCTTTAAATTTACCACTTATCTATAAAGGCAGCAGACTGCAAGGTTCACAAAGTTTTATGAAAATTGATAGAGAGCAAAAAATGCTGTGAATATTGAACAATCAGCAAAAATTGAAGTTCAAAATTTTTTTGTCTCAAACAAAAAGTGACGTTTTGTATCAAAAACTGTGAAGAAGAAGATGATACTGAGAGAATTTTTTTTCGTACAAAATTTGACAAAGGTCACCGGATTCCATTTTTCGTTTCCTAATTCACCACCAGTTTTTGTTGGTTTACGCAAACAAAAAAATACACGCAGAAACAGTCAGAAGAACGTCAGCTGTTGTCGTACCGATGTCATCTGCAAAAACGGGT